TCTTCCTTCAGTAACCTCTTCAGGAGATGGAATGCATTCTGCATTGGGTTATGGTTCAATGATTAACTTGGCCATCTAAAGCTGTCTACCCACTCCCGATAAAGTCCTTGTTGCGTTAGTACTATGTTTGAGGTCATTGTTCTGCTGCATGATAAACTTCCTCTCAATTAGTTTGGATGCATTTCTCCTTCAATTGGCAGACAAAATGTTTCTATAGGCTTCTAAACCAATTCTGCTGCTACCATTGTGAGTTACATCAACAATGAATATGAATGAGCCTGTTCCAGATGCCCAAGCCAAGATACTGCCCCCACCATGCTTCACAGATAATTGTCTATGCTTTGGATCATAAGCAGATGCTTTCTTTCTCCACACTTTGACCATTCGATCATTTTGGTAGAGATTAATCTTGGTCTCATCAGTCCATAAAACCATTTTCCAGAACTTTTGACACACATTTCGGTACTTCCTTGCAAATTCCAATCTGGCCTTCCATTTCTTACTGCTGATGAGTGGTTTGCATTTTATGGCATGGCATCTATATGTCTGCGCACAAAGTCTTCTTCGAATGATGGATTGTGAAACATTCACCCCTGCACTGTAGCTGTTGTTGGTGATGTCACTGACTGTTATTTTGGGGTTTTTTCCTCAACACTCACAATGCTTCCGTCATCAACTGCTGTTGTTTTACTTGGTCAACCTGTTCTACATCAATAGTTTCTTTCATTTTCAAGACATTCCATATTATTGTGTTGGCTATGCTCAATGTTTATCCAATGGCTCTGGTCAATTTTCCTTCTTTTCTCAGCTTTAAAATGGCTTATCTTTCTTCCCAGAGACAACTCTCATGGTTTATCCTTTTAAATAAATAATACAGTCTTCACAGGTGAGACCCATGACGAAAACCAACAGTAGACATCCAGAGCTATTTAATGTTTAAACAATCAATCTAAAAGGCAACAACTTTTTTTAAGCTTGTTCCAGAAAGAACCATGCAAGCCCAAGTCAAAATACTGCTGCCACTATGTTTCACAGATAATTGTGTATGCTTTGGATCATAAGCAGATGCTTTCTTTCTCCACAATTTGACCATTCCATCATTTTGGTAGATATTAATCTTGGTCTCATTTCATAAAACCTTTTTTCAGACCTTTTGTCCCTCATCTCTGTACTTCCTTGCAAATTCCAATCTGGCCTTCTGATTCTTATTGCTGATGAGTGGTTTGAATCTTGTGGTATGGCCTCTATATTTCTGATCTTGATGTTTTCTTTGAACCGTGGATTGTGAAATCTTCACTCCTTCACCGTGGAGGTTGTTGGTAATGATATTGACTGTTGTTTTGGGTTTTTTTTTTCTCACAATGTTTCTGTCATCATCTGATGTTGTTTTTTTCCTTGGCCGACCAGTTCAATGTCTTTTGATCAGTACACCAGTCATTCCTTTCTCCTTTAATACATTCCAAGTTGTTGTGTTGACGGGTCTGATCGATTTTCCTTCTTCAAAATGGATTGCTTTCCTCCTATAGACAGCTCTCTCGTCTTCATATTGGTTTATCCCTTTTAAAAGAAACACCGTATTTATAGGTGAAACCCAAGGCTAACACCCATCGTAGTCATTTAGAACTATTTAATGTTTAAACAATTAATTTAAATGCAATACTTGGGCAACAAGAAACATTTACCAGTCACGTGTTCCAATAATTTGGCTCAATTGAAAAATGGATGGATTCAAACAATACAGCGTTATGTTCTAAGTTGTTTAATCCATCTAAATGTAACTAACAAGAAATACAAGCTGAAATTCTGAACTCTTGTCTCATATTCATCTTTTGATCTTAAACCCAAATGTCTTCAGTGATGAACAAAAACAAAGGAATTGGCCTTCCCGTACCTGTACTTTCGAAAGGGACTGTATATATATTAAGGTTCTTTTCAATATGAGTCTTTTTACTGCGTTTGAAGCAGGAATGGCAGATGGAATGGCAGGTGATTATTTCCTGTTAAATATTGAAACACCAAACCATGGAGTCGTTCGCGTATCGAAGTGTTTTCAAATATCTTATAACACTCATATAATATACGTAAATCATCGTGTGATGTGAATTCTTTATAATCAACATTTCGTTTGGGACATAATCAACGGATGCAGGCCTGTCGGAATGTTCTTTGTCTTCTGTGAACCTAGTGAAAAAACTTCCGAACAACAGAAGAAAATGTAAGAAAGAGTTATCTATGCGATAAAGACTTCTTTTCACGAGCGGAAGCACCCGTTCACACCTGAAAGAATGAAAACAAAGGACTGTCATAGATAGATAGATAGATAGATAGATAGATAGATAGATAGATAGATTTTGTTGAAAACAAACCCGAATTGAAGAAAGGAAATAGCATAAGAGCCTGCTTTAATTTGGACTGATATTATGCTCAGATTGAATCACATGGTAATTTAACTGTGTTACGCTTTCGATGAACGATAACCGAAAAAGAAATATCAACTCGCATGATTTTGATACACGCCATTATTTATCATTCATTTTCTTTCTTTCTTCCTTCCTTCCTTCCTTTCTTTCCTTCTTTCTTTCTTTCTTTCTTTCTTTCTTTAATTCAACTTATTTTTGTTGCTTCATTTGAATATCTCTTTCTCCATACAGACCCTTCTTTTATCCTATTTTTCCTTTCATACTTTCTTCTTGTCTTTCTTTTAAGCTTTCTTTCGACCATTTTGTCATTTCTTTCACGTTTCTTTTTCATTATTGGATAAACTTTTTTTTTCTATTTCCCTTTTCCTTTAATTTATTTTCTCATTCTCTTCTTCATTTTTAATTATTTTTTCTTCTTGTTTTTCTTTATTCTTTTTCTTTTCGATAGATTTCTTTTTCTTCTCTCATTCAATTTTGTGGTTTGTTTCATTAATTTTCTTCTCTTGTTCTTGTCTGCCATTGTTTCTTTCTCATTCGTTTTCTCATTTTCCTTCGTTATTGTTTTTGATGAAATCTCTTCATTTTTTCCTGTCTTTCATTCTCGAAGTGTTTCTTTGATTTTTTTTCATTATCTTTCTTCACTTTCTTTTTTTCCTCTTATTTTTCTTAGTTTCTTTTTTGTCATTAACTTCTATATAGCTGTTCACTTTCTATTTATCCATTAATTTTTCTCCTCATTTTTGTCTTTCCATCATTCATATATGTTACTTTCATTTATATAGCTTAAAATGTCTTTGTTTTTCCTGTTTCATTCTTTTGTCTATCATGCACAGTAGAATCCCTGACAATCGGACTAAGAAGGCCTTCCGGATATGAGGAATTGGTTACAAAGTCCGGATATGAGGGGTTATATTTAGATTAAAATAAAAGAACTGAAATCAGGTTTAACATTTATATTCAATGTTTTATAGTAAACAAAATAAGCTAATGGTGAATGAAATATAACAGAATTGATTTTAAGGAAAAAGAAATAAATTATGTAATGTTAATGAAAATTCATTAAGTATGCCACGTATGCAAAACAAATAATGTAACAAGGATTTTTTTAATCGCTGTTGCATGATGATTCTTTTTCTTCTCAACTTTTTCCGCAATTCGTTTTGCTTTTGCTTTTTAAACGAAAGACAATTTTTAACTCTGGGTGCGTTATTGCAATCGTCATAGTTGAATGCTGGCTTTCTTTTCATAAAACTGACAATTTTTTCAATAGCTTTTTCAACTGAAGTTCAGGTTTCATCACAATTTTGTTTTGTTTTTTTATTTCCTTGTTCATTGTGACAGTATGAACGCTGGAGAATAGATTCTTTGGGAGATTTTATATCTTACAATGTTGACTTTCCTATGCTGAACTCAGCCATTAGTTACAATGAACTTTCACCAGCGTCTCGTCGGTTTCAAATTTCCACTTTCTGCGATAACTCTAAAGTTGTTCTTTTCCTCTTATTCCCATCATCTTTTGCACCGATACAAGCCATTAGGGTGAAATAAGCATAAGCAATTATCCAAAGTAAATTTCCTGAAAAATAGAAATTTCAAATCAGTAACATATTACCCAAAATATTTCAAATATACACATCAAAATCATGTCCGGATATGCGGTATTCCGGATATGCGGTATTCCGGATATGCGGTATTCCGGATATGCGGTATTCCGGATATGCGGTATTCCGGATATGAGGGATTCTACTGTATATCTTAAATTTTCTCTTCAACATATTCCCCTCTTTCCCTCTTGTATTTTTCATTCCTTGTGTCTTGAGTCTATGCTCATTATTTTTTCCTGACAACCCCCTCCATTCTTCCTTCCTGTCCTTTTCTTTCTTCTTCATTTCATTCTTTACTTTCTTTTAATCACGATTTTTACATATTCGTTTCTCCAGGACTTTGTTCGTATTTCTTTTTGTAAAATTTGATTCGTTTCCTTCCGCTTCTTCAATAAAAATCAAGATTCCTATTTGCAAATTATCTCCCTTACTTTCTCATCTCACATCCGGTCTAAATGTTCCGCCATATCCTATATTCATGCGAACGGACGCTTCATCTACATAACGACATGAAATCTCTCAAAAGATATTGGGAAAACGAAATCTCATTGTTTAACAAATGGGGAATGATTTTTATACCTTCTCTTGAACTTGTGTTTTAGTTTAAGTGAAAAAAGAAACATTTAAAAAGATAAAAACAGAACGATGTCTAACCTCCATAAATAACTATTTTCTTTCTCTTTATTAACTATGAATTGCCATGATTTATTGAGGAAAATAATAATGGCTGTTTTTTCGTTGTCGTCTCCTTGGTTTTGAATTCTGAGTTGGCCTGCTTCACAATTGACTACCATCCAAGGCTAGCAAGCACAGTACAGTGGCCTAAGAAAAGTTTTTAACCAGGAGAAATAAACTAGATACAATTTCAAAATTTAATTACGTAATCCCTACTCAACATAAGTAAATAGTATTTGGAACTATTATAGAGTAGGTCCTCCATTTGCTAGTTTCAGTGTTTGTATTCAATTTTTCATGGATTTGACCAAGTTATCAACACTCGTCTGATCCATATTTTGCCATTCCTTTAGCAATGTTTCTTTAAGGGTTGCCACTGACGTGATTTTGGACGCACGCTCTCGAAGTCTTCGGTCAAGGTGCTCCAAAATGTGCTCTATTGGATTCATGTCAGGATTTGGGGCTACCCATGGCACTGACTTGATTCCTTGTGATTCTTTCCCGAACTTTGCTGCTTTTCTCGTATGAAATTGCGCTCCATTTTCTTGAAAAATGTAGACATTTCTGTCAATCTATATGATTATAGTGGGGGTATTCCTTTCTCTAATATTTGACAGTATTTTGGACCATTAAACCGCTCGTCAACAAAAATCAGTTCAAATTTCCTTCCAGACCAGACAGCGCGTCACACCATTACTCCAATCCCTCCATGTTTCACGGTTGCCTGCAGACATTCAGTGTCTCATTCTGATTTCTCCAAATATAAATCTGTCTCGAATTCGGATATTGGCAGAATTTACTTTCATCTGTCCAAACTACAGACTGCCAAAATTCATAATCTTTGCACTCGAATTCTCTCGCCCAGTCCATACGCCTATTCCTTTTAACCTTTGAAATCAAGGGCTTCTTTCTTGAAACACTTCTTGGATAGCCTAGGTCTTTCAGAGTCTTTCTCACCGAACATGGCGACATTTTTATGTTGTTGACGACATCTTTGAAGCTCTGACAACGGTTTCTGATGACTTCCATCTTCAGCGCCCTTTTCGTTCGCTCAGACACGATGTTCGGTCTTTCTGGACATTGTTCTATACAACAATGGCCTTCTTCATTAAATTTCTTGACAATATTATTAACGGTTTGATGATTAACATGGAAAAGCCTAGCAATTTCTCTATTTGACTTGCAACACTGATGCCATCCTATTATTTGCCCTTGTTGAAATTCACTAATTTCCTTACTTGCACGAAATATAAGTCAACTATCATTCATAGATGAGAGTAGCTTGATACTAATACGGTATTGTCTGAAAAAAAAAGACGTTATTACAGAAGCCAAAATTGCTGTAATCAAGGGTGGCTAAAACTTATCATAGCTCTCTGTATATATATATATATATATATATATATATATATATATATATATATATATATATATATATATATATATATATAAGATCAAATGTAGATTATCATATCCCACTGTATAACATGCTGTTTACGCCACTGATTAACTTCGGTATAAGTGGCCATTTTAAAGGAAATAAAATGATCAAATGCTGGCAACATTAAACGGAAAGTCCCCACGCTATAGTAAACGACTTATTCGGCGCCAGATGCAACACATCAAAAGGCTTAACAAACTTTCTATGTTCACTCAGTTTAATAGAGCATGTGTAACAAATTACTGCTTCTTAAATATAGATATTAAATATGTATAGAGAGAGAGAGATAGCTACATAGATATATATCTGTGTATATGTGCGTGCGTGAATTGATATTCATATATGCTTTTTTATGTTGAAAAAAGTTTTTTGCATATTTTTATTTACTTCTCATGTATGATAATAATTTATCGGTTCGTCCCCACAACCTTCGTCCCAGCTTAGTCATTGGAAAAATTTGAATTCTTTCAGAAAGTTTATTATTCTCCTATATGTCAATTAAATAAAATCGTCCCTGCTTAGTCATCGGAAGAATTTGAATTCTTTCAGAAAATTTATTATTCTCTTATATGCCAATTAAATAAAAATGTACAAAAACATTTATGTTATCATACATATATATATATATATATATATATATATATATATATATATATATATATAGAGAGAGAGAGAGAGAGAGAGATGAGGGGAGAGAGAATCAATGCAAATAAAAGGTTGCCACTCACTTACCTGATTGATATTACCTACTCCACCCCGACCCCTGACTTTCGTAGACGGCACCTCCGGGAATCACTCCGTCTACTCATCAGGGGTTATCAGCAATTTACTGCATATAATTTTCGATTTGTCATCTTATATTCACTTTTCAATGGTGCAAATTATATATATATATATATATATATAATGGACTCTCTCCCGTCGGTTTCGATGTATGAGGATCTGACAACTTCCCCAATTGATTAAGTAATGAATTTTGTGCAATAATATTCAGTGTCACTTAAGCAAGATTGAGGATTGTGGGATGGGGTTCAGTTAGATTGGCTGATCTCTTAGATCATGCTCTCGGTTCTTGAAGACGATTCAGACTAGTAGATTGAAAACCGCTAAGTCCACTAAAACACGTTGAGCTCCAAGGCTAAGCGCTCTCGAATGTTATGACCTTGTCTTTGTATGTAAACCGGGGACGTCCTCCATTCTTGTAGCCCTGATCTAACTGGCTATATATTAGGATCTTGGGTATTCTGTTGTTATGGAGTGTTTTCACAGTGGAGGCTTGTATTTGTACTAAGTCGGTCCTAAAAAGTTTCGACGTACAAAACGTTAGGAACCTTATATAATAGGTATGACGAAGAGTAATCTAGTTGTGGTCGCTGATACTTTAGTATCCGACTAACGGTCGTCCGGCATCGACTGACTGAACAACTCCCTGAACGACGATATTCAGTCACCCCCCCACGAGGGCGTCATGTGGCATAAGGCCTTTTTAACGTGGGATCTCCGAGCCCGTGAGCTCGGCCAAAAATACCCCGAAAGAGAATCCGCCCTTCGGCGTAGCCTCCTTCGGCTAAGAGTTCAACCGATCAGCCAATCGACAGACTGGGCGACTGCCTCGTTACTCTTACTACTCCTACTTATTATAGGTGGGAGAGTCTATGAACTATAGAATAGGTGTGTTCCGCTATAACACGGAGGCACGGTGGAGTAATGGATAGCGGCTTGGATTGAGGAATCGGAGAGCCGAGTTCGAATTCCAGTCGAATCCATTACATTTACTTACGTGCTAATACCCTTAGGAAAGGTGTGAATCCTCTTCTTCTCCCTCCAGCTATGGGTAAATAGCAGGACAGACTGGGTTCTATAGCCTTGGATGGCAACTGGTTTAGGAGAAGGAAAACTCTGAATTCAAAACCTGCTCTTAGATGAGGGTGAATGGAGTCTCTCTGAGCCTTGGTTCGCAATCCATTTAGTGTTGGTGTCACGATAAAAACACCCTTGATAGCCC